TGTATTTGTTGTTTGTTTTAATTTCTTTTTCCCCTTAAGGATGAGACTTTAATACTTATAGTTAGTTACAGCCTAATTTGGTTCTTGGTGCTTCCAGGGATGAAGACTGTAAGAGTTCCTTGGTTATAAAGTCTTTGTATAATGGCTTTCACACATGCTAGTTGTAGTAGGGGCCAGTAGGGGAGGTGTCCTTGGGTAGGAACTAGTTGTGACTACAGCAGGTGGATAAATGCAATACCCAATGGTGGGCAGAGGTTCCAGCTTTGACAGAGGTTCTTGGAGGAGCTCTCAGTGAGTTGCACTGAGATCTTATCAGAGGGAAGGATTGAAGCCACCTTAGCTCCCCTGCCAGGTCAGCAGGAAATTTATTCACCTCTCAGACACACTCCTGTCCCAGTACTCCAGCATTCAGATCAGACAGGCACCTCTTTTCATGGGTAGGAATGTTGATGTTCAAGTAGAGAGGAATTGTGACTCTGTCTCTCGTGCAAGCTGGCACCTGGAGGATGCTTCTCCTGTGAGGATGCCATCATCCTGACGTGTTCCAGAAAGGGTGTCTATAGTTGCACCCACACTTAGCTCCCATGAGAGAAGCCCCAACAGAGCCTGTGATGGTGAAAAAGGGAGAAAATACATTTCCTTATTCAAGGCCCTTCATGTGCACCAAGGCTGTCTGACTGTTGGGCTACAGCTGAAGACTTACCCTGTTGAGTCCAGCACTGCAATTGTGCCTCTGCTAAACTTCCCACCAATGGAAATATCTGATCCTCAAGGCCTGTTGTCTGGATTCTTTTGTCTCACAGGATGTTCCCTTGATGTGGTGCACTCCCCCTTCTCCTAGGAGTGGGGATCCCTGGGAACCAGGCTACTGTGAGTGTTATTGTTCCTCTGGGTCTAGCCATCCAGTGAAGTTGCCAAACTCCAAGCTCATGTTGGAGAATGTCTGCAAGGGATCTGGTGATGTGACCTGTCCTCAAGTCTCCCAGCCATGGGTAGCAGCACTAGCTCAAATGGGGGTAGCAGGTGAGTGATGTAGACTCTGTGAGATTCCTTGTTTATTGATAGCCTTAGTGTGCTCACTTTCTTGAATACTAGTTAGAGTGGAATGATCTGATCATGTGGACAGATTCAGGACCTCCTGGTTAGCCAGAGTGGTGCAGGCAGTAGTGATAGCAGAGATTATACAGTTGTCTTTTCCTTGGGTGCAGTGTGATTCCACCAGGAGATGCTATCATGGACTGTGTTGGTTGGCTTCCAGCCAGGAGGTGACGCTTGCAAAACAGCACCAGCCGCAGTAGTTGCAGTAGGATTTTCGCTTGCCTTATGTTGCCTAGTGGGGGTACTCTGGTTTCTCAGGCAATGGAGAGAGGCATATAGTTCTTACGAGTTTCTGTCCTTTGTGTGAAGCTACCAGGGCAAGTGGCAGAGCAAAGCCAGGTGGGAGCTGGGTCAGGGGGTTTGCACTCTGAGTCTTTGCTGGCAGGGCACACAGCAGCCCCTGTGGGTGTTGGGGGATGGGAGCAGGTCTCAGGTCACTGGGTTCACCTTCCAGAAGGGAGTATTGCTGCCTGTGCTGCACAGAAGGGTTTGCACATGGAATGGTGAGGAGCAGGCAGCAGTAAGCCCACGCACAGTTCCCACGCACTTGGCGAGGCACATCCACTCCCACAGTGTTACACTGGCAGCAGTGAGCTAAGTACCAGTCAGCCTGCACTCAAATTCCAATTGCCCCAGTGAAGATAACAGCTGCCGCTTTCAGATCACGCCCTTCCCCATCCACTGCAAAGCTGGGTGCCTGGCTCCTGCACTCGGGGTTGCAGCCAACTTTTCACTCTCCCCTGCCCTGGTCCTGGCTAAGGGAGTTCATCCCCAGCCGAGGTTCTATTGTGAAACCTCCTTGGGGGCTTCCTTCAACCTGAAACCAACTGCTTGAACTTTTCGGCTGTCCTTCGCAGAGTTCCCTGTGTGGAACAGTAGGGAATGGCTTCCATCGGTCCACACGGGGATCTGGAAGTGCATGCACGGGTCTTCCCGCCTTTGCTCCTACTTTTATATTCCACAGGCCTCCCCAAGTCGGTTCCTGCGCTGGTTGGGGTTAAAGCCATCTCCCCCTGCCTGGACTTTTTTCACTGGATATCATGTTAGCTGTGGATTTGTCATATATGAATTTCATTGTATTGAGGAACATTCATTTTACATCTACTTTTTTGAGCATTTTTATAATTAAAAAATGTTAAATTTTGTCATATGCTTTTTTTTTGTCACTGTCAATATGGTCCTATGGTTTTTGTCCTTCATTCTGCTGACATAGTGTATTGCATTTATAGATTTATGTGTCTTGAAGCATCCTTGTATTCCTGAGAAAAATCTCACTTGATCATGCTGAAACACACAGGATTTTAAAAAGACTTTTCTTACATTCTCTTCAACTCATTTTTTAGTCTACATGAAATGCACGTTGAAGAGATATTTGGTTTTCCCTGTTGCCCAGTCACTCTCTTCCCTTTTCTACTTTCTGATATTACCACTGAAACTCTCCCAATGTGTTAAGATAAGCAATTCCTTTAAGCAAACTTCTCTCTTGGTAAAATGAGTTTTATCTCAAAGCAGAACTTCTGTGCATTACTGTCTTAGAGTTCCCTCTTTCTTGAAGGGTAGGAATGAGGGAGAAAGAAAGGGATAAAACAGAGAGCTCTGTCTATGTTATCTACATCTATAGTCATATCAATAGCTATATCCATATGCTTATCATGTAATGTTGATTGAAGACTCCATGACTTAGAAAACCTAAAAAGTAACAATTCACAATTTTTGAATACTCACCATGTGCCAGACACTGTTGGAAATGCCTTACAGCTATTACTTCAGATGGTCATTATGCCCAAAATAGATATTCCCCTTAACCTTCTCCTCCCACCACTCACAGATAAGAAAACAGAAGCACAAAGAGCTGTGAAGATGCTCATTGGTAACTGGTAGAGCTATGATTCGAACTCAGGCACTCTGACTCTAGAGATCACAGGTTTCACTGTTGCTCTTGTCAAATGCTTGTGGCCTTGATTCTATGCCATGACATTTCTGTAACTACTGCTCGTGGGAGTGAGGAGGGATGTGGTGTGGGGATGAGGGTTTGTGGTTTTCTCCTCCTGGGTTCTTCTGCTTTCTTTGTGTATGCAAATGAATGTTTTTTAAACTAAGTCATCTACATGGGAAACTCAGTTTCTAGCAAATATCACAGATGCAGTCCACTGAAAATAGGTTTTAGTATCCCAGGGAAGTGTCTTAATGAGTAATTCACACCTTATACACATATATATTGGATAGCTACTATATGCCAGGACCTGACATAGAACATGGTGTGCATTGGTGAATAAAAGAGCAAAAGTAGTTGACCTTTTGGAGCTTATATTCTACTGGAAAAATGACAATAACCAATACACATGATAAGTAAATAGTGTAATATGAGTATATGATTTTACCATGTTGTAGAAATGTCCATATATTCCTTTTATTATTTTTCTCATAAAAAGATGTTCAAATTTGTAAAATGCTTTTCTACATCAAATGAGATAATCGTGTATTTTTCTCTTCATTGTGTAAATATGGTATATTACATTATCATTTGTATATTGAAACATCTTTGTATTCTAGGAATAAATTCCACTTAGTCATGGTGTAGAATCCTTCTAATGTGCTGTTAAATTCAGTTTGCTAATATTTGGTTAAGAATTGTTGCATCAACAAATTATAAGACCAACAGTCAACAAAATGGTATGCAACTGCACCTGGTGGAAATTGTAATTTTGCGTTTCAGTGAAAGTTTAGTTTCCAGTGGGCCCCATTTCAGATGAGCAGAGCCTTGCATGTGGGGCAATCTATGGTTCATGATTGCAATAGGAGAGTATTGTTCCTAGATCTGGACTCCAGGATAGGAGATCCCAGTAGGTAACCAGGCATTTGTTGTTTTAATGGAGTATAGCACAAGGGTGAGAGGGGCATTGTTTTCACATGAAAGGCCCTGGATGTATGGCCATCATGAATGGTCTAGAAACTCCAAAAAGCAAGAAAGAAATTGCTGAAGTCTCCACAGAGAAAAGGTATTTTTGTTTCTTTGCTTAGAGGCACTAACAGGGGTGCCTATTGATTTTAATTTGTAAATAAACTTTGTAAAAGAAGAATATGTTGTCACTGGCACCTCAAAACTCAAAACAACTTAGAGATGCTGAATAATGTGATGTTAATATGCATATCACATGAATCTCCTTTGAAGGGGCTGTTATCAGTGTTATGTCATCCCATGCTGTTGAAGAAATGTAGATGTCATTATTGATATTTAAGCAGGATCCTCACTTCAGGATAGAGAGTCTTGGCAGAACTCCAAAAGGTAACACAAAGCTGCACATAGCACAACACAAGAAAGCCATCAGTGTAAAAAGCCTTCTCAAGTTGTGGAACCAATCAGAGTAGCAAATTAGTAAGCCATGAATAGTTAAAGAGCATCTCCTAGGAACTTTCCACTCCAGTTTAGAATGATCCCATTTTCATTGCCATTAGTATTGAAAATGGTAAAGTCAGGCTTTTGGGTCTTTACGAATTACTCTAAGATGGCCATGAAGATTTCACTTGGAAAGGCATATGGAGTATGATTTATTTTACTCACTGGTCCTAGAGAGGGAAGTAGGGCATGCCAGGTAGAAAGACATATGAGAAGAGCTCCAAGGAAGCAGGCTCAATCAAGCAGATAGGGAAGCAAGAGAGAAAGAATTCCTCAGCAAGGGCCTTTACTGGAAGTCAGGGTACAGGGTACAAGCAAAGAGCATGATGGGATTTACTGGTGTCTTTTTATGGGACTAGGTCACAATATGGGAGGGCAAGAAACTTGTTCCAGGGACCAGCCTTATCACACTGGTGCGCATGGTCACCTGGGCAGAGTACTCACAGCATGATTGTGGGATGTTGAAGCATCAGAAAAATATGAATTAAAATAAATTTACTCTCTTCCGGTTCTAGGCGCTTCGGGAGCCGCGGCTTAAGGTGCAGACATGGCCAAGTCCAAGAACCACACCACACACAACCAGTCCCGAAAATGACACAGAAATAGGATCAAGAAACCCCAATCACAAAGATACGAATCTCTTAAGGGGGTGGACCACAAGTTCCTGAGGAACATGCGCTTTGCCAAGAAGCATAACAAGAAGGGCCTAAAGAAGATGCAGGCCAACAATGCCAAGGCCATGAGTGCACGTGCCGAGGCTGTCAAGGCCCTTGTAAAGCCCAAGGAGATTAAGCCCAGGATCCCAAAAGGTGTCAGCGGCAAGCTTGATTGACTTGCCTACATTACCCACCCCAAGCTTGGGAAGCGTGCTCGTGCTCACACTGCCAAGGGGCTCCGGCTGTGCCAGCCAAAGGCCAAAGCCCAGGATCAAACCAAGGCCCAGGCTGCAGCTCCAGCTTCAATTCCAGCTCAGGCTCCCAAAGGTGCCCAGGCCACTACAAAGGCTACAGAGTAGATATCTCTGTCTGCCAACGTGAGGACAGAAGGACTGGTGCGACCCCCCCACTCCCGCCTCCAGGCTGCCATCTTCATGGGGATGGGGTCCTTCTGTGCTATTTATACAAATAAACCTGAAGGAGGATTTGTTAGCCTCTGTCTATGATCCTGGAAAAATAAAAATAATAAAATAAAATAAATTTATATGTAGCAGGACTTTTTTAATTTATTAATTAATTTCTTTTTTTTTTGAAACAGAATCTCACTCTGTCACCAAACTGGAGTGCAGTGGTGCGATCTCAGCTCACTGCAACCTCCGATTCCCTGGTTCAAGCTATTCTCCTGCCTCAGCCTCCCGAGTAGCTGGGATTACAGGCACATGCCACTACACTCAGTTAACTTTTGTAGTTTCAGTAGAAACAGGGTTTCAACATGTTGGCCAGGATGGTATTGATCTCCTGACCTCGTAATCTGCCTGCCCTGGCCTCCCAAAGTGCTGGGATTATAGGCATGAGCCACTCTGCCCAGCCTGGACATTTTTATTTACACAACTTGGAGTTGCCATGTAGCATCCTTTTATTTCTACCTGAAACCACTCCTTGTAGCATTTCTTGTAGGTAAGGTTTAATGGTAGTGAACTCTCTTAGTTTTTGTTCATCTGAGAATATCTTAATTTCTCCCTCATGTTTAGAGGATAGTTTTCCCAGGTATAAGATTCTTGGTTGATAGATTTTTCCTCTTGCAGTATTTTCAGTGTATCACTCCTCTGTCTTCTGGTTTCCAATGCTTCTGATAAGAAATCGGCTGATCATCTCATTGAGGAACTCTTGTATGTGAGGAATCCATTTTCTGTTGCTGCTTTCAGGGTTCTTTCCCTGACTTTAGTTTTCAACAGTTGGATTATAATGTGTCTTAGTGTGGGTCTCTGAGTTTTTCCTTGAGTTAAACTTGAGTTTATTCCGCATCTGAAATTTGAGGATTCATGTATTTTATCAAGTTTCAGAAGGTTTTGGGGTATGATGTCTTTGAATAATCTGTTCCTTTCTCACTTGCTCTTTTCTTCTTCTAGAACTCTAACAGTGTTTATGTTGATCCATTTGATAATGTCCCACGATGTACTCAGGTTCTGCTTGTTTTTCTTTATTCCTTTTTCTTTCTAATCTCCAGTCACAATAATTTCAATTATTCCATATTCCAGTTTTCTGAGTCTCTCTTCTAACTGCTCACATCAGTTGGAGAACACCTCTGGTGGATTTTTCAATTATTGTACTGTTTAACTCTTAAGTTTCTGTTTGTTTAATTTTTATAATTTTTCTTTGCTGTTGTTCTTATTTTATTAATGCATCATATTCCAATGTTTCTTTAGTTGTTTGTCTGTTGTTTGCTTTAGCTGTTTGAGCATGTTTAAGATAGTGATTTAACATCTTGGTCTAGTGTCAGGATGGGCCCAGTGTATGAAAAGGGTCTTTGTAGGACATATGACAATGGAAGCAAGAGGTTGGAGTGACGGGAAGATGTAATCATGAGAAAAGGAATGTGGCAGCCTCTAGAATTTGAAAAGGCAAGGAACAGAGCCTCCAGAATACACACAGCTCTGCTGACACCTCTTATTTAAGGGATAAAACATGGTACTTTCATATACATAGACATAGGATAATGGTTATTACAGTCAAGCAAATGAACACATCCATCCTCTCACATAGTTATCGTGTGTGTGTGTGTGTGTGTGTAGGGCATCTAAGATAGACTGTTTGAGCAAAAATACTGAATTCAATACAATCCTATTAACTCTAGTCCTCATATTGCACAGTAGATCTCTGGACTTCTTCATCCTACCTATCTGCAATGGTCACCAACATGTCATCCTCTATCTTTGTATATTTGAATATTTTTCTCCTTGATTCTATCCATAACATGATTTTAGACTTCTGACCTCCACAACTATAAGATGATACATTTCTTTTGTTTTAAGATGCTAAGTTCTGATAATTTGTCACATCAACATTAGGAAACTAAGGTAATGTAATTACACTATGGGTGAGAAATTCTCAGAGGCTTAAAACAATGTTGAGTTTGTTAGTTAAGCTACATGTTCAGTGTATGTGGAGAATTCATGGTCATTCAGGCATCCAGGCTGATGGAGCTGACCTCATCAGAGCCTTGTAGGTCTCTGTGGAAGGGAGAAGTTAATCCGTAGAGGCTCTTGCAGTTAAATGCACAGCCACAAATTATACCCATCACTTCTGCTCACAACTCAGTAGCCTAAAGCAGTCACATGGCCCCACCCAATGCAATGATTCAGAAAGTGCAGCCAGGCACGGTGGCTCATGCCTGTAATCCCAGCACTTTGGGAGGCCGAGGCGGGCAGATCACCTGAGGTCAGGAGTTTGAGACTAGCCTGACCAACATGGAGAAACCCCATCTCTACTAAAGATACAAAAGTAGCTGGGCATGGTGCCACATGCCTGTAATCCCAGCTACTCAGGAGGCTGAGGCAGGAGAATCCCCTGAACCTGGGAGGCAGAGGTGGGGGTGAGCCGAGATCATGCCATTGCACTCCAGCCTGGGCAACAAGAGCTAAGCTCCATCTCAAAAAATAAATAAATAAATAAATAAATAAAATTTAAAAAGTGCTCAGGCCAGATGGAGGTGCCTTTCCAAGCTAAAGCTTGTATCTTACATCTGAGTGTGCTTTCTCAGGAGTGGCAACAGCTACC